GAAGTCCTTTCTTCTCAGGCACCCCCACACCACCTTCCAGGATCTTGGTGGGTAAGGGTGTGGAATGAAACTCAAAGTGCTCTTCCTCCGATCTCTTCTTCGGCTCTCGCTCCTGAATTCTTTCCTCGATTTCCAAATCAAACCCGATGGGTTGAGTGGGTGGCTTCGCAGGTGGTTTCTTGGGCAAGACGGGCCCATCTTCAAGAACTCTGGGATCAAGCTCCTGGGCTTTGAATTTGTGTCGTTGCGTTTTCTCTAGCAGCTCAGCCTCCTGGTCTGCTGCACTTGTGCCGGTCACCGGCCTCGTGCACTGTTTGGTTGGCAGAACAGGAGTCTGTGGGTTTCTGCAGACCCTGACCGCTGACGGTTTGGACAGTAACAGGTTCATTCCATCCTTCTTGCTCCTCAAGTGGTATCTGTTCGGGGTTCGTTTATGGAAGGCTTCGATCTGCTGTGCAAGGGGCACATACGTAGAAGTTGTTTCTTCGAATGTTGTTCTCTTTCCTTGGGACAGGTTGAAAGGCTTAATAACGGTGCATCCCTTAGCCACTCGGGCAGGAGAGGGAGGATGCTTCTGCAGTTCAGATGTGAAGTTCACTTCCTTGTACTCCTGGCTCTTGTGTGGTATGATTCTCTCATCGGTGCAGAAGTGGAAGTCAACAGACTTGGTTACCTGGCTGGCTGACTTCTTCACAGGTAGGCCTGCTCCTGCAAGAGCAAATTTCTTGAATTCTTCATTCTTTGTTGCATCTCCACAACTCCCTGCTGCATTTTCATTCGCTTTTCCAATTCTTGCTGCTCGGTGCTTTCCAAACACCGTGTGCCTGACAGAAGGCGTACACGGCACCGTGTGCCTGACAGAAGGCGTACACAGCCCCATGTGTCTGACCTTGGCTCTCTCTGGAGCAACTTGATGAGCACGTCTGTCTTCCACCGGCTTCCTTTTGCTGCTAGAAACTTCCATTTTTTAAAGGGTGGGATTTCATTCGCGATGACAGAAGTGGCACACCGCTTGGCATTCAGTCTGACACGGTGCTTCTGTTCCGCATCCTTCTGAGCAGAGAGCCGGGGAACTCTCCTCTGAGGACGGGCCTGGGTAAAAATATAAACAAGGAGTAAGAAAAAAGTGCCACCATCAATATTTTAAAAGCCAGGGAAGACGTCTTTGTCATGGAAGCTTCAAGAGATCCTTGCACCTAGAACAGACTCTGGTCGGGTCTAGAGGGATGTGGGGTTAAGGGGGAGAGGGGACCCCACAAATCATGACAGGTCCGGTAGGCACACTTGTACAGTGATAATAAGTAGAGATTATAGTAAAGTCATAGAGAGCATGAGAGTTAAAGGAGAGGTTGAAATAAATGGAGTCAGACACAATTCATGGTAGCATTGCTCACCTCAGC